TACGTAAAAATTAAAGAGAGTTGCTATGAAACTGTCAACTTCTAACAACAAGGAATCCTCTCATTAATTGTACTACAGAAAATATGAGTAAATAAAGCCATAATAATAAGTAGCACTAAATTTTGTTAGGTAATAGCACATGTTTGGTCCAATTATAGTTTTAGATAATAGGGCAGGGAGCACATTAGCAGCCCCAACGTGTGTAATGTACAACTTATGTAACACAACATCATCTCAACACTGCAATTTATCTCTATGTGTATTTTATGAGTTATTTCGCAAAAATAAAATTAAATTTGTTCAATACACACTTTCAAATAGTGGTTACGAATTTTTCTCATCAGTCATAAATATTATAAATAAATAAACAAATATATATATATATATATATGTGTGTGTGTGTGTGTGTGTGTGTTAGAAAGAAAACAAAAAATGAATTAAAGGATGTATAAAAGTGTCAAAAACCTTGTGCTCAGAGGCACCAAAGGAAAGGTCATAGAATTAAATCTCGGTGATAGGTATTGACTCTTGTGCTTTAATAGTTAGGAAAAATATAAAACAAATACTACATTGTAATAGAGTTAATAGTATTTAAAAAAAAAAAAAAAAAAGGGAAAGTATAAAAGTGAGGATAAATATATAGTGAAAAATAGGATTCCAATTGTGGTCCCCGGTTAAATTGACAGGAGTTGAGCCCACCCGTTACATCTTGATGCCGCACAATTCTTTGGTACTGCGACTGGTGGAGCTGAACTATAAAAAAGTACTTCAGTTATTGGAGAAATTATTATGCAAGCCACATCAAATTATTAACACCAATGACCCAGTTTATGAATTTGTCTGCATAATATATATACTTCGTATATAAAATTTTCAATTATTAATTAGTTATGGGAATTTGATTGGACTCCCCCACCCAGTTTCATGATTCTACGGCTATATTTTAGACTCCATTAATTGACTCAGACTCATGAATAGATAAAATGAGTATGCATAACTTCAAGTTTTACATCAAATTGTACCATTCTTAATACAAGAAGCCCAATCATAAATCAAATTTGTAAAACTTATCTCCATAATGTCTGGGGTTGAATTCGAACCCCATCCTATTGTTGAAAGAGAGTTTTAAGTGTAACTGTTGATCACTACACCAGTGCCGTGAAGGGTTTGTTTTTGTTTTTTTATTTTTTTTATTTTTTTGTTTTTTTCATTAAGTTACTGTCATATTTGATTGCAATTACATTATTTATTTATTTAAATTTTCTTTTACTCCACTATTGATTAGGGAATTGACTAGCGGATATGACTAATGGCTTAGCAAACGAGGCAACTTACACTTACTTAAGTGTAAGGATAACTCATTGTATAGCTCAAATTGCGTCACCGATTGACTGACTAACCGACCATCTGCACCAATCAAAGCGTGCCACGTTATGCCTATTTGTTACGCTTGCTTAACTGAAAGCATAGCTCGTTGTATAGTCCAAATTGTGCCAACGACTAACCAATCATATGCACCAATCAAAGCATGCCATGTTATACCTATTTGTTTACACTTGCTTAACTGAAAAGGTAACTCATTATTGTATGGTTCAAATTATGTCTTTACTAACCGATTAACTGATAACCGACCATATGCATCAATCAAAGTGTATCACGTTATACCTATTTGTCTACACATACTTAACTAAAATAATAACTCATCGTATGATCCAAATTATGCCACCAACTAATCAACTAACCGATCATTTGCACTAATCAAATCAGGCCATAATATGCTTATTTGTCACAAGCTATTGTGATTTAAGGTGAGCAGCGAGTATAAGAGCATCCACATTGGTTGGGGAGAATGGGGGATAATGTAAGAGTGATTAGGAAAGAGAATGTGGGAGGGGAGAGAAAAAAAAAACAAAAAAAAAAACAAAAAAAAAAATTTTTTTTAAAAAAGTAATCAGACGCGTCAGGCACGCCTGACGCGCCCGGCTTTTGCCCAAGGCTGTGCGCGTGTTCGCGCACAGCCTTCCTCCTTCTTCTTTTTTTTTTTTTCTGACAATATCCTCACATTTGCAGGATAATTATTTTTCAATTATCTCCCCTCCACACTAGTTATTATCTCATGTAGGGAAGAATTAATGCTGAAATCTTCCCACAATATGCACAAGTGTGGATGCTCTAAAGTACCAAAACTCTCTAATCAAATATGATGTAACCCAAAAAAAAAAAAAAAATTAAAGAAAATAAGAAAAAAAATAAAAGAAAAAAAAGCTGTACTATTTAGAAAAAGGAAATACGAAAGATAAAGGAATAGGTCTGATGCTGAGCTGGAGAATAGGGGGCTGAGTAGCAACGTGGGTCCAGAAGAAGAATGTGACACGTGGGAAGAAGAGAAGCATTAAGTGAGGTGGCGATAGGGATGGGACCACGCACTAAGTGCGTGTGAAAGGGGAAAGAGTAACACATGATCTGGCATCTGGGCGATGTATGTGCAAGCCTCCATCAATGAATGTGGCTCAGTGGCTGCATGTATGCATCATATCATATCATATCAAAACTCTAAAGCAAAGTTAATAAAGCATATGCATGTGATTCTTGTGCCTTACAACACCACTCTTTCTACCTCACTCATCCTTTTTCACTTTCATTCATTCAACAATTTTTTTTTTTTTTTAATGATAATCACATGTTTTATAACAATTGTTTTACTTGCTCTCTAGCTTTTATAAAAAATATCATTGCTGATTCTATTGGGATTATCCCAATATAAACTCTATTAATCATGCATTGAGGCTTTTTTAAGCGAAGCATATATAGTGTGTCATATAAGTCTAAGCCAAGTGTTACATCAATTGTACCAATAATATAATACTACTAACATTTTGGTACATTTAATATAAATATTTAAATTCTCATGATTAATTAAATAATGGTATATTTGATTGTTACAAACGTTTTAATAAGTAGGAATATATACCATTTGAGAACATTATCTTAAGATATCATCTAATGACGGTCAATGACAAGAATCTTTGGAGACATGTTATGCAATTTTCCTAACCAACATGGTTGGTGTTGTGGTTCAGCACCTCGTCCCTTAAGCCCATGTGGATGGAGCAAACAATTTGGCCCTCCTACCACTTCTGGCTATCGGCTGGATGGATACCTTTGGACAACTAAAAAAATATTATGCAAATTTCCAATTTGAAGATCGAGGAGTAAGTGCATGGTTTGAGCAACCTTCGTGGATATGTGGGGTTGTTCGGTGCAAATGAATACCAAGAAACTTGCCAAATATATTTTTGAATGACGGGTGTTGAGAACCCTATTGAGGATTGACCGGAGGAGTTTCCCTATAATGATTGTCAACGTTTTTTTAATACACATTATGCAACTTGTCAAAGTGAAGATTTAGGCGTGCATGATCTCATTAATCTCTGTGGAAATGTAAGGTTGTTCATCGCAAACAAATACAAAAAAGACCATGTCAAATATAATTTTCAATGATAAGTGCTAATAATAAGGGCCTTGCCAAATAAAATGCACTCTCTAATTACAAGTATTAAGACTTATACCAATAATAATTGCCATTAAGAAATCTCACTATATAAAGTGTAGTGTCATTGTGTCAATTACCATAACTATGGAGTAACCGATTCTATAATTAGTTATGTAACTATTTTTTCATGTGCTGAATAGAAAAACTTCTTACTATACCTCTATTACTCAATTTCAAATTATTACCTCTCTTTATTTATACATTTTTATAAATAAATTCCTGGTGAAATCAGCCAATTAACCAAGAATAATTAGATCAAACAAAAACATAATTAATGATTAAAAAACAACTACTACATATAAGAATTTGGGCATTTTGGGGGGCATGTAAAAGGTTAGAAAGGGGTAACAACTAACAAGTGGACACCACATAAACATAAAACAATGAATACACAATCTCTCATCATTGGTACCCATTTGAAATTAATCATACGTGGTTGACAATAATGCAAATGCATGATATTTTGCACTGATTAATTAATGGACAACTAACTCAAATGTATGATGAGTGCAGGTACAAAAGTCAAGTCGTCCCATGAAGAAAATAATGTTGCATATATTACACTAGTATTAATGTCAAATGTTGCTACTATACATCATAGCTAAGGATAAATACAATTTTAAATTCCTAAAAAAAAAAGAGTATTTAGTCTTCAATCTATAATTTTCCAGTTTCAACAAATTATATTATGAGATGAACCACTAATATATACTCCCTCCGTCCCGAATTGGATGTCTCATTTACTTTTTGCACGCTTTTTAATGAATCAAAAGTAAATGTTATGCACTTTCCAATTATGCCCCTCACTTTTTCACTTTTGGAAATAAAAACAATAAAGAAAGCAAAAGCTAGAAGGGTAATTTGAAAAAAGTAGAATGATGGTGATGTTCAATTTTAGAAAGTGGACAACATTTTGGGACAAACTAAAAAGGAAAGTAAGACACATAAAATGGGACAGAGGGAGTATTATTTTAATATACTAAATGTTTATTTGTAAATAATACATTAAAATGAATTTTTTAAAAAAACTTCTAACATACTGAAAATAAAATTTTAATATACTAAAAATAAATTTATATGTCATCATGGTCTACGATATAACAGCTGGACTATATTCTAATTAGTTTGTTATTATGACATTACGTTAATAAAGGAAAAATCTCTATTTCTTTTTTTATAAGTCAACTGGGGCAAAAGATTTAATTATTTGGTGTAGAGAGTTATCTACTTAATACTTATCTTTAATCCGGGTAGTTGAACCCGAGGACCCGTGAGGTGCTTACGTGGAGCGTCCGGTGTGATCGGAGAATGATGACCGCCTAGCCTATACCCTTTAGACTTCTCCAAATACTGTACACAGTATCAGTACACCGTATATACATACAGTAGCCTGTAGTAGGCTGTAGGTCCTAGAGAGAGAAAATGAGGTGTGTATTATAGCTTTCTATGCATGCCAGCGATGAAGTAGAAGGATCAAAGCTTTTCTCTCAGCTCAGGTCAAAGCTGTCACCTTTGTATTAACCCACTTCTCTTCTCTCCTCTCTCTCTACACTTGGTTCAAATCCCCCTCTCTATCTCTCTCTCTAGCTTACAGAGAAAGAGAGGGAGAATGACGGTGTGAGATACAATAAATACATCAAGAGTGTAGAAAGATTAATGTTTGATCCGTGCGCGACAGCAATGGCCGGATCTCCATCTCTCGCCGGTGGAGAAAAGAAGCACTGGTGGCTTACCAATAGAAAGGTAGCGTCTTTTTAATTTTTTTTTTTTTTTATTAGTTTTCAGTTTCTTTCTTTCTTGGTGGAAATCTTGAAGGTAGGATGGTGTTTTGGGGATTTTGAAATGAATATTTGTGCAGATTGTGGAGAAATATGTGAAGGAGGCAAGGATTCTGATTTCGAGTCGAGAACAGAGCGAGATAGCTTCCGCTATAAACCTTCTGGACACTGCCCTGACTCTTTCTCCTCGATTCGAATTAGCCCTGGAGTTAAAGGCTCGATCTTTGCTTTATCTCCGGCGATTCAAGGACGTCGCCGATATGCTACAGGATTGCATTCCCAGTGTGAAGATGGCATCCGATGAAGCCTCATCATCCTCGACTTCGTCGTCGTCGTCGTCATCGGATAACTCGTTGTCCAAGGAGAGGGTGAAGCTCCTCTCCTCCGGCGGGGGTGGTTCCGACGAGCCTGCTTTCAAGTGCTTCTCGCTCTCCGATTTGAAGAAGAAGGTTGTAGCCGGGCTTTGCAGAAGCTGCGAAAGGGGAGGGCAATGGAGGTAATTTTCCGCTTCTTCTGTTTCATTGGTTTTCCCCCTTCTTTTATTATACTGCCATCAAATTCGCCCAGTGGCTTCAATGTTACGCCAAACCAGCTGTGACCTGTAAGCTGTCCTTAATTTAATGAACAAATGTTAAAGTTTTGAGTTTTGCAAGTCAAATGTTAATGTTGTCCTCTTTCTTTATTCATTAAAAAAACAAAACATTTGCAGGTACTTGGTTTTAGGCCAGGCTTGTTGCCATTTGGGCCTAATGGAGGACGCTTTGGTTTTGTTGCAGACGGGCAAACGCATTGCCACCGATGCCTTCCGTCGCGAGAGTATTTGCTTGTCCGATGACAGCTTTTCTTTCGCCAGATTCCCGCTGGCCGGAGAGATTTCCGCCGCCGGTACCCAGCCGCAACCGCCTCCAATAACCGATTCCGAAAGCATTTCCCAGTTGCTCAGCCACATCAAGCTGCTGCTCCGCCGCAGGACCGCCGCAATCGCAGCCCTAAACGCCGGCCTCTATTCCGAAGCCATTCGATACTTCTCCAAGATCGTCGATGGCCGTCGTGGGGCCCCTCAAGGCTTCCTGGCTGAATGCTACATGCATCGAGCCTCCGCGTATCGATCCTCTGGTAGGATTGCAGAAGCCATAGCTGATTGTAATCGAACCCTAGCATTGGACCCATCCTGCATTCAAGCTCTTAGTACTAGAGCTTCTCTGTTCGAGGCCATTCGGTGTTTGCCCGATAGCCTCCATGATCTCGAGCACTTGAAACTCTTGTACAATTCAATGCTGCGAGATAGGAGATTGCCCGGACCGGCATGGAAGCGGCAGAATGTTCAGTACAGGGAAATCCCGGGGAGGCTCTGCTCGCTCGCTACAAAGATTCAAGAACTGAAGCAAAGGGTTGCCTCGGGTGAGACCGGGAATGTAGATTACTATTCCTTGATTGGATTAAGGCGAGGTTGTTCAAGATCAGAACTTGAAAGAGCCCATTTGCTGCTTACTCTCAGACATAAGCCTGATAAGTCCAGCAGCTTCATCGAGAGGTGCGAATATGCTGAGGAGCGCGATGTTGAATCCGTGAGGGAGAGGGCGAAGATGTCTGCATTGTTGTTGTATAGATTAATTCAGAGGGGTTATACGAGCTTAATGACAACCATCATTGATGAAGAAGCTGCCGAGAAGCAGAGGAAGAAGGCTGCGGCTGCATTGCAAGCAATGCAACAAGAGGTTCAACAAGAATCCAAAATCAAACCAATTAGCAGTTCTGAATCCTCTGTTAGGATTGAAAACAATGGTACAGCCACCACGCCCCCAGGATCAGTGTTTCAAGGCGTGTTCTGCCGAGACCTTGCAATTGTCGGGAATTTGCTATCTCAATCAGGGTTTAATCGTCCGCTCCCTGTGAAATACGAGGCGTTGAGCTGTTGATTGAGATTTTTCTGGTGGTGGATAAGCAAAGAATCTCATGATCAATCTGGTGGAAAGTTTCTTTATTTCTTTCTTTCTTTCATGTGTTAATGTTCTTCAACTGTTGGAGAATCTGATTCTGGAACAAAGACTGTACAAATGGCAAAAAATGCTCTACTTTGCCATCCAGGAAAATTTTGTTACCTACTGCAGTAGTATCTTTCTTCTGTAATTTTTTTTTTTTTTTTTAATCTTTTTGTTCATTTCTTCTTTCTCTTTTCTGTTTGTACAGAGTTAAATTCAGCATCCAAATTTTCCCAGTTCTGAGGTTTTCCCTCCCCCCCTTTAAAATCTCTCTCTTTGGATTGTCATTTTCTTGCTCCTTTAACAAAATTGACAAGAGGTGGCCAAAATTTTAGGAAGTGTGTAAATGGGATTCACAGGAAGAGTGTGAAATGTGGATGGAAGGAAGGGTTGCTTTCTTAACTATCTTTTGGCAATTTCATCTCAAAAAATTAAAAATGGTGGCCTGCCCTGGCCAGCCTGGGTAGCTGAGTTTCTATGTGGTGTCACTGCTACAGTTTCTTTAGTGTATTTGGCAAATAACTGTTAGCGGGTTTGGCAAGCTAATAGTATTAGCTGGTTGTGTTTCAGTAGGTTGAGAAAGTAGCTATGAACAAATATTACAGAAAAGTTGTTAACTTTTTGAATTTTAGCGTTTGGGTATTGACTTTTTGTGTTTCAGTAGGTTGAGAAAGTAGATATAAACAGATATCAGAGAAAAATTGTTAACTTTTTGAATTTTAGCGTTTGGGTATGAGTTTTTGTGCTTCAGTAGGTTGAGAAAGTAATTATGAACAGATATATTACGTAAAAGCTGTTAACTTTTTGAATTTTAACGTTTTGAAACATTAAATTGTTTGGATAAGCTGCAGTGCTGCACCCTACAAACTTTCAATTAGTAACTTACTTTGGATTGGTAATCTAGTGAAATAGTGTCTCAAATACAATATTTTAGTACTGTTTTGGAGCAGCATGCAATATAATGAATGAACACAGTGGAGTTGTCTGATTCTGAGAGTGGGGAAGAAAGATGAATGATGGTGGGTGCACAGAGCAGAGGGTGCATGCACATATGCAGTAATGAGGATTACTGTTTGATAATTACTGAGGAGACTTGGGAGAGTACAATGTTGTTGTCTGTTGTCTTTGTTGTTGCATCATGTGCCAGCCAAAGTATGGGTCATTGGTTTTAGGTTACTAGGGTTTAAGTAAGCTATGCCCATAGGTTGATGGGAATTTCAACTTTCCAACTCATCATTAATTTTTACACTGCAGGGTGGGTGGGGGTAAGTTTACTTTCCAACCCCCCTTTTCACTTCTTGAGTTCCCCAAATTTACTTTCACACCATAATGGGGCAACAGGGCATTCAACTTGTACCTGAAACATCCAAACTCTCAGTATCTATACCTGTTTCTGCCTCAATAATTTATATGTGATAAATTCAACTCTATGCTTTATCTTTATCAATCAAGCTAAATTATTAACTCATTTGAATTAGATAACCAGTTAAGGTGAAAAAGGAGTCTGGGTAATATCTAATCTTTTTCTTTCAAGTATAGATAATTGAACTCGGAACTAATTTAACTTAGAAGTTATATGAGTTTCAGAAGAAAAAGATTTTGAGATAGTAGTCTATGATTCACAAATAGTTATAATTATTATAGGTAGCCATAGTTTATTGGAGTGAAGCATGTGTGTGGTACCCAGAAGGCAGCAGATGTAGATAGAAACAAGTAAGAAGCATGTACAAAAAGAGCCAAAGGATGATGATGGCAGTGCAATGGATAATATTGACTTTGTTTGGTAACATAGTTAGTTTATCAGTTAATTTTGATTTATTTAACTATTATTAACTGTTTGACTTAGTTAAACTGTCAATATAAATGTTTGATTAATTAACTTTTTGTAACAACTTATTACTTTAAAATGTTAAATTTTTTAAAAAAACATTCAAAATAACTTTTTTAATTAATACTTAAAAAAAATCATTTTATATATAATCAACTAGCAGCTAAATGCTATTTACCAAACACCCTCAATATTAATATCGGAAATGGTGAAGATGGTCCTCAGCCCAACCGATTGGGAGTACGAATATACTGTCAAAGCCTTTTGTATTTTTGCGTCTCAAAGTGGGTGCAAGGATGTGCATTGAATTTAGCGTAAATGTACATTACTCTGCTTCGGGAGTTCAAATCAATTCATTATATTTACATACTGTTATAAACTTCAATTTCTAATTTTACAATTTACTTACATACCAACTATTCTAAATTATGTCTCACGTAAATTAAGTGGTCGATAATTGGCATTTTCCATTTGACCTGTAGGGTGAGATGGGAGTTTGATTTGCATGTGTTGGGCAGAGGCCGGTAAGGGCCAGCACTCTATTATTAGGAGGATTGTTGAGTGGAAGAGACAGATAAATGGCCAAATCTGATATTCTGACTCTAAAAAATGTAATGACAATGTTGTATAAAGAAATAACGTTATGTCTTCGGTTATAGTTTTTGGATTGTTTTCAACACTGGGGCAGCACTTGGGTGTAGCAGTCAACAGAATCATGCTTATCCTATGTATGCAGACTGCAGGGAGGACCATCGGACCATCCTATGTTATCCTTCTCATTCTCATCATTTTCTCCTATTCTTCTTTCTATCCACTTATCATTAACACCTAAGATTTGAGGATTACAATTTGAAGTTAATTATTCACCTCCAAACATAATTTTCCCATTCTTAATTATATCTAATTACCAAATTGTGAATTTTTTATCATAGGATTCCTATTTACTGGTCCCGGAAATTAAAATGACAAGACAGCCTGCGAGTTCCTTAAATGTTTAATTAATTAATTTCAATTTAATGTTGTTGTTCCACTACTAATTGCGTAGAATCCCCCCGTAGTGTTTTTTTTTCTTTTTCCTTCTTCTTCTTCTTCTTCTTTTCTTTCAGATATTACAATCATGGAAGTGGGAAGAAGAAGGACAAAGGTATCACGTGAAACCCATCAACCAAAGTGCAAAACCATTAAAGAAAAAGGGGGGTTAAAAATAATTCAACCTCGGTGAAGATTTTTTGAATACTATTGACTCAGATAGTATATGTTCTATACTTTATCTAACTACCTTTCTTCAAAGGGAGCTATAGAAGTGTCATCTGAGCATAAGGTGTTTGGCAACTTAGGTGAATGAGTTAATACCCAAAATTGTCCTCGACTATGGTGGTTTTTCTCAATTTTGTCCTAAACGACTTTGGTGTCTTAAACTAGTCCCAGACTTTTGTGTTATTATTCAATATTGTCCTCCGTTATATAATCTGTCAAATGGATGTTAAGTATAGGGTTAAATATGTAATTTCAATTTTGGTTTTCTAGGGATCTCCTTATATTTCATCTAAGGGTCAAAAATATTTTGACCGAGAATTCGCCAAGCAATAATTCGACAATCTCTGTTTATTTGACAAAAATATTTTGACCCAGGGGCTGGGGCTGCGACTGCGGTCTGCTCAAGCAATCTGTGTTCCTCAGAAATTCGCCAAGTAAATTTGACAATCTTTGCTTATCAAATTTGCCAATTTGTGTTCATGTTTTACAAATTTCACCAATCTGTGTTCATGGGTTTATCAATTTCACCAGGTAAATTCGCCCAACGAAAACCCTAAGGAAGCAAAGCAAATTTCTTCCCTACATTGCAATGGATTCAAGGCGACGGAAAATGGGCGAAGGCACTCCGAAATATGGTAAGCATTTTGGTTTGTCTGAGCTTATATATGGATATGTATGTACTGTTAAAGCATAAAGTAGTATGCATATGTATGTATTGTGTTTTAACTGTCAAAGGGGACATAGTGAATTAGTAATTTGTGTTTTGCAGTAATAGCAGTAATGCTTATGGATCGGAGTTTGCAGTCGCAATCTGTGGAGTAAGCAATCCTTGTTGCTTCCTTCCTTTCAGTTCAAACCTCGTTGCCTCGTTCTTTCTTCAGTCAGGTCATCAAATAAATATGGAGTTTGCATTCGTAATCTGTGGAGTAAAGGAGACTAAGTGAGAGAGAAGACCAAAATTGAAATTACATATTTAATCTTATACTTAACACCCATTTGACGGATTATATAACGGAGGACAATACTGAGTAATAACACAAAAGTCTGGGACTAGTTTAGGACACCAAAGTCGTTTAGGACACAATTGAGAAAAACCACTATAGTCGAGGACAATTTTGAGTATTAACTCTTAGGTGAATATATAGGTGAATATAGATGGTCGAAAAATGTTATAACTATATGCACAATCAATATTGCAAAAGGCGATGGGCGCTAGTCAGGCGTCAATGGGGTGCCTAGGCGACTTAATAATTTGAGTATATCGTCTATACTTTTACCACTCATGGCTAGGAATTGTTAGACAATCATAATCTTCCAAACTAATCAACTACATGTATTAGATGATTAGTTGAGTACATGACTAAAGAAATATAGAAAATTAATCAACTACATGTATTAGATGATTAGTTGAGTACATGACTAAAGAAATATAGAAAACTAATCAACTACATGTATTAGATTGATTAGTTAAGTACATAACTAAAGAAATATAGAAGATGAGTAATCGAGTAAACAAAAAAATTATTCGCCCGAGTTGAGCGCCAACTCAACCGAGTTAGATGCTCAAGTCGGTACCTGGAGTGCATAGTCGGCCGGTTAATTGATCAACCGGCTAAAAACAGCTTAGGGCTGAAATTACTTCAACTTACGAACACCTAGATCTATGCAGTTGTAATGTATGATTAATGGGCCACAGCCTAAAGAGATTATTTGGTAGAATGGGCCTTGGTAGAAATTGGGCTAGAATATTTCATTGCTTGACTAATATGAAAAAAAAAAAGTGTTTCTGGGCTGGAAGCTTCTAGACGCCATAGAAAACGACGCTTTGGATTCAGAACATTTTTTTTGCGCTTATGTTAGCTGCAGCGTTGAAGTGGAAGAAGTAGTTGAAGCAAAGCACTTGACTTTTCCGATTCCAACTATCAGCTTCTAGTTTTCCGGCGACTTCCTGCGCTCTGTAGAGATGGGGTGGATGTCTCGATTCTCAACAGTTCTTGCTTTCTTAGCGATCGGAGTGGTGTTTTCACCGGAAACTTTTGGATCAAAATCCGACGGTCAGTATCCTCTCAAGACCGTCACTTTTCTGAAATTAGCGCACCTGCTCTGCTTCTCCACCGCTTGGGGCGCCGCTCTGTGGGTCACCTTCATCGGCGGCATTATCATGTTCAAGTAATCCCGAATTTCCTTTTCCTTCTAATACTACGGACAATTAAGTGATTAATTAATAACTAATAAAATGCAAAATCAAAGTTGGAATTATTGCTTACGGAGTTGCGTTTTGTGTAATTTGAGCTCAGGAATCTGCCGAGGCATCAGTTTGGGAATCTGCAGAGCAAGATGTTCCCGGCGTACTTTACTTTGGTCGGAGTGTGCTGCGCGGTCTCAGTGGCGGCCTTTGGGTACATGCATCCATGGAAGACGTCCACTAGTGCTGAAAAGTATCAGATTGTCTTCATTCTGGGTGCCTTTGCTTTCAACCTCAGCAATCTTTTCGTGTTTACTCCCATGACTATCCAGGTACTAAATAAGTTTCTTGCTTAGTTCTATCATTTCTCTGCATTGCCTACATATTTGATGAGATCACTAGTTTTTTTCTTAGTGAAATGCAGTATATACATTCTTATCATTCATAATCCTTTCCTTTTACATTCACCTGGACCTTGGTTATCTTTTTGTATGAGAATATGATTGTTTACTGCTTGCTTCTCTGAGACAAGACATCATGGCTAAATACTACTAGGAAGTAATTTGAATATTCTTTGGCAAATGATCCACATGAGTGTCTAGCATTCTTGAGGCATTGTCTCTATATTCCATTTGGCTTTGGGCTGTCTGTTTAAGATTTCAAATGTAAAAAAGTGCTACATGAGATAAAACGGTTAGTATTGCCTAGTTATATTTAATTTTACTGATTACAATATCTTAATTGCATTAGGAATAATTACATACTAGTGACTACCTTGGACTTTGTTCCAGTAATGCAATTCACTATTTATAATTTGAGACACGATAGAGGCTGATGCCATCAGTGAAGACACTTCGAAATGTTTTATACTGGTAAGGATTACATTTTACAGCACGGGTTGATCCTGTCATTTCCAGTACATGGATGCGAAAGAGTGGCTTTGTTAACAGCTAGCCCTAGCTTACCCTTAGAAGAGGGCTAATACTGGTCCAGTTAGCAAGGGGACCTGTATATTTGGTATCAATGCATTATATTTAAACAAAAGAGGAAACAAATCAATAGATTATATTTATTAAATTTGTTAAATATCAAATTTAACTTCGCAATCTTTATAAGTTAAATGGAATTAATAACATCCTTTCCCACCCTCCGCCGGCTGGTTTATCAATCATTCTTCATCTCAGAGTCAGAAGAGATCAAGAAGCAAACTTGACACCACAATACAAATACTAATTTTACATATTATTGGAACTGTTCTGAGACAATTTCATCTCTGGTGTTATATTTCATCACTCTTTTTCATTTGAAAAATTATTTATTGATAAGGATTAAAGATGAAATTAGCTCTCGGTTCAATTGAGCATTTGAGCCCTTAACTAAAAAAAATTATTGAAATGCCTTAAATGGAGAAAAAGTGCAATTGGCTCATTTAGCCACTTAACAATGGGTAAGTGCTTAATTCAACCGATAGAACATTGACAGTTTGACACATAGATATATAGATTCCCTAATTAGGAGTACCTTATTCCAATTATAATTACAATCCAACTAATTCATTTTTTCAAGAACGATCTATTGGATCTCTCTTCTCTTTACATTATGCAAGTCCTTTTGGTGGAACTTTTAGATTTGTGGTCAAACCTACAACGAGAATAGTTGAAAAGCTTTTTAACTCTTGTCTTAGTGACTCTTCCCGCTTTTCTAGTTTTTGTTTTTTGTTTTTTTTTTTTTTTTGTTTTTTTTTTCTTGAGTGTTAAAAATAATCTATCATGAATTATTCATAAAATTTACTGCAAAAACCTTCCTTTTTCCTTACAACTATTTAGTTTAGATCATGTAAAAACAATTGTGGGATTTGTGGCTGCACTTGTTTAGTCTGTCTGCACTATCAAGGAGGGGCTGCAAAAAAATAATAGGGTTCTTGCATCATGTATTCCTCGGTAGCTGAATTATATATTCTTGAAATCTTGAAGATGTGAAATGCTACAAGTTCTAAAGTGCTTTTCCCGTATTTTATTGCTCAATGTATGGACAACCATTTGATGTTTTTTGGAACACTATGGCTAGAAGCTGCTCAAGTGTTTCATAGAGGGAGCAGAAATTTCTGTCAAGGCATTTATTTCATGATAATTCACTGGTTATTGCCCGTGATTTGTATTGAACAGATGATGAAGCAAAGGCATAAAATTGAGAAAGAGTCAAATATTGGAGATGAAGTTGGGTGGACCAAGAATCAGGAAGTTGCCAAGGTTAATCCAAAGCTTGCTGCCATGAACAAGAAATTCGGAATGGTTCATGGACTCTCTTCTCTTGCGAATATCGTGTCTTTTGGTTGCCTTGCCATGCACTCCTGGTATTTAGCTGGAAAAATTAATTTTTAGATTGAATTGCGGAATATGACCGCCCTCAGATGTTGTGGGCCTTATAACTATGTATTAAAATCCAGAGATAATGTGTGCCAAAAAAATAAAAATATCCTGATAATAATACGTACGTTTCGTGCCAGATAGTTGACATGTAATTTATGATGCTTAATCTGCATACATGTTGTTTTGAATGAAATGTTGTCTTCATCAGGAAAAGGAAATTTCTCCTCCATTTTAGGTGCAGTTGCGTGCAAGCTACGGGTCATCTTGACACCTTCAATATTGTTGTTTAGTTTGGCCATCATTATAGATAATCATATCATACTAATCTACCTTAGATTAGCAGTATGCATGGATTGAGCTGAATAGTCAGTCTTTTTCTGGGCTTCTTCCAACTGCTTCTCAATAATTTTTTTTAAAAAGTCATGTGTTTTGTTCCACTGTGATTTTGGGTTTATGTTTTAGAGAAGTGGTATAGGTATAGCATGTTTTTGCCATGTGAGGGTGTAGTGGCGGTCCCCAGTTGAGCAAGTATGTATGTATTGTCACATCCAAAATTTGGAAGTTTTGACAGAAAAAGAGCAGCCCGCCCAAAAGGACCTCATACTATACTGTTCAAGAATATGCAGAATCTTGGCATTATTGCATGGATGGATGGATGGAAAATGGTAATGATGATTGAATTTGGAGAAAGTTGAGAAGTCAAATGGGACGGGGAAGTGGGTCTGGGTTTGGGTTTGGGATGTGTATCGAGTCATGTACACGTAGCCAGCCAGGCAGCTGCCTTGTTGGAATGGATAGGCATGACCCATTTGTCCAGTTGAGTAAGTAATGGATCATACCGCGTTTTTTGGACTCACTAGGGGACCATTTGTCTTGTCACCAACACCCCCAAGTATGGTCAGTGCTCCCATTGCGCTTCACCTCAATATTGTTTGATTTGGAAATTGCAATTCTGTATTTTTCAATTTGTACTATTAAAATTCATAGGGTTCTCTTTATATCAATTCGGTGATAGATGGAAGAAAAAAAAAATGATTTTTCCTTTTAATTCTCAGATACTTTGTTCTTACTTTATTTTTTTTACCATATTACAATTTCTTTATTCTCATATACTTTATTTTAGTGTATGTAAACTAAAGGTACATAAAGGAATTGTTATATATATATTATATTTAACATAAGACATGGATGGTCACCAACTACCATGTTACTATATATAAAGTTGCGGTAGTATAATGACAGTTAACGTCGGCGTACAGCTGTTGCATTATTTTTTATTGATAAAAAGAGAAAACATATACTACATCTCCACATGCACAGGAGGGATGATTTGGCAGTTGGAAGTTGGAACCAACCTAAATGTGGAAAAAGCATTACATACTATCCAACAGAACCAAACAAATAGAGTAATGGTAATTTTATATGCGGTTGGAACACTTCTGGGTTCCATCCAACGTAACAGTTAATATACATAGTTGTCGGATTTCCATGAAATTGAACAAAGGCTAATTCTAGTTTACATATGACAAGAATCATCATCATGTATAATCAACCATTATATTCCCCTTCTGAAAACCAGGGAACATTTGTTGCTTCAGCAACTAAATGAATAACGAATCCTCCCTCTAATTCATCTTCCATTCCATTCCATTCAACAATCAATCAATCAATCAATGTAGTGTATTAGTGGCGGAGAATGTCCCTAATACCAACAAGCGTGCTGGGAGCATAAGCACCACAAGCAAATGCATGTGCTGGGATGCAACTAGCGTGCTGAACCGTTTCAATGACTCTTTTCCAGTTCGAATCATTCCACCAAAGTTGAACTGCCCGTTACGCATGTTACCAGACACAACAGGCCTCCGGAAAATAATACCACCATTGATCCCGTCTACTGCCACAAGCGGCCACCATACTCTTCGCCGCTGTGCTCTCTTGGCTTTCCTAATGCGGTTCAGTTCTTTCTGGATAACATTGCGGATGGATTTCATGTATGAGCTCATGTCATGGTCTCTTTGAACCGTTCCTCCAGACCCATATGCAGCACGGTCACTCAATATCTCGAGTGGGTGTGGGGAGTTTAAGAACACCGACTGAGCAGCTCGGATTTGCTTCTCTGCCTTGCTGGCATCACCCGCTGTACAGCTTAGTAGATACAGACCTGAACCCGTAGGAAGCAGGTGATGGCTTGGAGAAAACTTGTCATCTGGTTGAAGAATCAAAAATTCTCCCATTGGAGCATACAACACCTTCTGCTCACATCAAAGATACAAACATTGATCAAATACAATTCGTTCGTTTTAAGAATACTATATAACAAAAGTAAATAAACTTTCATGAGGCCAGGTAAAATAAAAGATAGATGAAGAAGGGTGTCTGGTCTGATCTACCTGGTTGTCCAGACATGGATGGTTGCGGAAGTTACTATTGACAGCTTTAAGAAATTCAGCAACATGATTGGGATAGTTGCAAGAGAAGGCTCGGGGTACAATGTCTCGATGCATTGTAATTGACTGGACATGACTCTGAGGCAGTCCAAGTTTTCTGAGGAGGCGGTCTCCTCCACACATAACTGATGGTGAACCAAAAGTTATAACGGGCAGTAAAGCGTGTGGGGGAACTTCGCCTCTTATTAGCAGCATCAGATTTAAAAGTAATGATAAACTCCCTCCAAGGGAGTGTCCAGTGAAACGAAATCTGGCACCATCACCTCTGGATGAAATGTGAGCACGCACTTCTGGCAGCATCTGTTCATACATGCCTTTTGCAGCCTCGTAAATACCTCTGTGCACAGGCACATCTAGACCCTGGAGAAATAAGACATGGTGTAAATAACCCAATTTACACAGAGGATCTTAACAAAGCAGTCAACATTACAAATATGGTGCATTTCCACTTTGTAAATCTTCATAATTACCTCAAATTCAGCAGGTTCAAAGAGAAGATTGGCTTGCCATGATGCTAGTGTCTCAGATCCCTGAATGACAAAAAATCTCGTTCCACTTTGATCATCATCACAAGCAAACCACTCACACGGGGACGAACGTGTTGAGTTCAGATCATCAGCAACAGCCTGCTTTACTTCCTCCTTTGCAGCAACCACGGATGTTACCGATTCAGTACTGGACAGTAGCGAAGCAACTTCCTCATTCATCACATCTACTACATCTTCATCTCTTCCAATGGTCCTCTTAGGCATATCTCCATTCAATGGAGACCTGGACAGAAAGCTGGTTGTGTGGGAATGCAAGTATGAAGCAGCAGAGGCAGCTATATGGTATACAGCAGATGCACTTTTTCTATTTCCACTGCTCTTATCGGATTCATTTTCTTTCAGATTCACTGCATCCCTCTCAGTTTCATTTGTTTGAGCAACTTCATTCTCTTTTCTCAGCTGGTCTTCCACCAATGCCCTTTCTTTCTCAGCTTTCAGTGCATGATGTTTCTTCTCCAATGATGAGGTGATGAAGCGTAATCGCTGGCGTCTTAAAAGATTCTCAGGCTGCCATAGAATAAGGTGTTCAGAGGTCCATTCACATCATTGCTAAAAAACAAACATTGCTAAAACATTTGATCCGTATTGTTAATCAATTGAAGCAGTGATAAAAACTACAGGTAAATGGGTAAAAAGGAAGGGTTTATGATTTAAAGATGCAGAATCTAGGTCAAATCCTAAATCCTATGATTAAACATACATACATACCTTGATCTGGGATATGGAATAAGCCAAACTTCCCAGATGAGCCATCTGAGCATATAATCTAGCCTCCGCTAGTGACACCCGTCGTAGAAGTTTGGAAAATGAATCTCTGTCGAATTCTATATTGCCGTCGTCATCATCAACAGCGCAGACATCGCAGTCACCATCATCAGCTCCAATACATGAATCGTTGTCCTCTGAAACACCAATTCTGTCTTCCGATCCGTCAGCTTTTGCTTCTTCATCTTCATCTTCATCTTCTTCTTGTTGTTCCTTGCGCAGAGATCGCACGCGGAGGATCTTCATGACCCAATTGACATTCTGCTCCTCCGCGTCTTCCTTATCGTCAACCAAAATGGGGGGGCCGTCCACCGCAACGGCGTCGAAGCGGTTTCTACTCCCGGGCCACAGAGATCTAAGCGGATGCCGGAAAGAGAAACCCCAAGGAGGAGGCGAGGGCTTGTCCACAGACAAGGCCGCCGAAGGGCGTCCAACAGCAGAGGGAGTAATATGGGATGTTGAATTATGACTCATACGGAAATCCAATCCAGCGGCGCCGACGGCGGCGATAGGCGTTGCTATTCCCGGAATCCCTGCCTTCAAGCAGAGACTATCCATCGACAACAGCTCAAGTTATAATAATAATCTGAATTTGAGCTACCTAGATTAGATTTTATAATTTGCCTCTCGATCAATTCCTTGTTGTTGTTGGGATATAAAGAGGTGAAGGTGGGCATGCAATGCGAGGAAAGCGAGGAGTTAAGGTTCACCACAATCTGTGAATTTAGGAGAGCTTCTTCTTGACTTGTACTACCAACAATGCTCCAGAGGAATACCTAGCTGGCGCTGCAAAATGTAGAGGACAGGTTTCTTCTCCAGAGTTTTAAAGCAAACAGGTCACCAACCGCCCCTCTCTCTCTTCCCCAACTTGTTTAAACGATATTTTCGACTATAATACCTTTTTGAATCAGAAACGTCAAAGACGCCGTATAATTCCGAATACAAATCTTTTACTCCTACTAAAAGTCTTTGGGGGTGGTGTTTCGCACATAAATATTAGCAGATTTTACTAGATGATGATAGAATTAGCTGTAAAATAACTTTTTAAATAGGTTTTAAAAAAATTAAATAAATATTTATATTGACGGTTTCCAGTTTAACTAAGTCAAATAGGTGATTAAATAAATTAAAATTAATTATTAATTAAGTACCAAACATGGTGTTTTAACTTTAGGAGCTAAAATATTGCAGCGTTTATTTCGTGTGTAAACTGTAAAGGAAGCGCGTGACGTAGGGCATGCAAATATGGATATGGAGTTGGAGAGACAGGCGCGAATAAGATTGCCACGTCATTGTACGCGGGCCAACTAAAAAAGGAAACGTGACGTATTCATAAAGCACCAGCATTCCCAAAATCTAACTCGTGTGAGATTCTGTCAATTTTGCAGGCACACGTCCCTCTCTGTTGTGCCACCAAGTTTGATCTTATACGGAATAAAATAAACTAATGCTAGAAAAATATACAAATTCCTGGAATTCTACATTAATGATTCTTTTAGTACAAATATAGTATCAAGAATCCATCATAGCACTTGAGCTGCGCTGCTAAGCAGCCCGTCTCTATCCTGAGTCCTCACAAATTACTAATGGTAAAAAAAAACAAAAAAAAAAAAGAGGAAAATATATGCCCTTATAGCCGTGAAAATTGCTGGACTGCTAGTAAAAATGGAATTCAGACCAATTATGCTACTCCCTAAAAAGAGGTTGGTTCATTGAACATCTCGTATGAAACTCATTGTAGCAAAAGACGATAGACAAAAAACAGCAGCCTATCCAAGAACTTCCTTGATCTTGGTCTTCTGCTCCGCCGTCAATGATGTGGGGAAGAGAACCTCAAATGTCACGTATAGATCACCCTTCTTGTTACTAAAATGATGTGGCATGCCTTCACCCTTGAACTTCTTCACTTCCTTTGGCTTGGTGATCCCCTGAACACAACAAACACATTGTTATCATCATTTACTATTTCATCATATTTGCAAGTACAAGTACACAACTACCCTGCCACTCAATTTTTCAAACTGAATATCTAACCTTGGACCCGATGTCCACAAGATGATCATCAAGGTGTTTAATGGTCTTTTCAAACCCAACAAGCGCTTGCACCTGGATAAAAATCACAACAGGGTGGGAGGGAGGGAGGAATCAGTTCCACAAGTAAATTTAATATGAAAAGCAGCAGCATTACACACACACACAGAGGTTTATATTCAAAACTAATTTGCATAGTTGACAAAATCTACATAGCATCATGTTGGAAGAACTAGAATAAAAAAGACTAAATACTCTCTTGGACATGATGAATTTTAGGAAAAAAAATATAGCTTCTAATATAACACAAAGAAAGAGGACATGAAGAATACCAGAGTGATTGTGACAGTAGTGTGAAGGTCATTGCCTTCTCTCTTGAATTGATCATGTGGAGCTGTACGAATGCGAAACTGTATCCCCAAAAGAGAAAAACAAAGAAAGAAATTATAGCCAGCACATATATGCGATAATGTGATACCATTTTATGAACTATGGATAACAATCTAACCTTTAGATCTCCGGGTTCACCATCTACTTTAGGCTCACCATCTTCATAAAAGACCACTTCCTGTCAACAACAAGCATGCATATTATTTATGGTATACAGTAAACTGAAATACCCATCTATTAGATAGATAAATAGAGAGAGAGAGAGAGAGAGAGGGAAAAAAAAAAAAAGGCAATCAAAATGTGATTTCCAGTTGCTGCCATGTAAAATGTACTATGAGATCATAGTCATGCTTTCGCACAAGTACAAAAGTATAGAAGGTCCAAGATATCATATAGATTATGCAGTCAAGATTGCATGGTGCACCATTTGCTAATTGCTTACTTTTATCCAAATTATTTTGCAGTCCCAGTATTATCATCCACTGCCCAACAAGAGAAAAGGGAAAAATATAGCCACTAAACACCAAAATCAGGTGTTATGAACTTATGCCAGAAATGTGTGTATAATAAATGTAAAGATCAATCATGTATTTCATAGCAAACTAGAAGATTTGCTTACTTGCCCATCTTGCATCCCTTTTTCAATATCCACAGTAATGTAATAGCCTTCCCTTTCAAACTTCACATTAGGGCATTGATCACAGACCTGGAAGAGCACAACATAAAATCTAGAATCAGTTCAAGAGAACATATATGCCTAGTATCGGTACCTGTATATGCTATGTCATCATCCAGAGAATACAATTACTCAGCTTGGTTAATGATCTCAATGAATTTGAAACAGTACCTGTTCTGTCATCTGCTGAAACATCCCTGGACCAATTTGCCTGTGGTAAACCTCATTGCGGCAGTTACATCGCCTCTTACCAGGAGCTGGCTTTAAAATATTCTTCTCCCTCCAAACCTGTTGGATTCAAGGAAAACATATATAATGTTTCAAATGCAGAAAGTGATCTGCACTTAAATGTTAAACAGAAGACTGTAGGCCAAAGATGAAAGATCCTCTAGATGAAAGTTAGCCTGTAATTGTAAATGAATTCTCTTACAGTAAATATAAGAGTAAAAAGAAGAATTATATCCATTAAAGTAGAGACAAATTTTCCAAATGTAAAGATTTTTCATATAAATGACATTAATACACCGTGCACATAGAATCATCCATTATGAAAAGCAGCATAGAGGAATCAAGTATTATATGGTATATTGGTATAAATATAGATATTAGTCAAAATGCATACCTTCATTGAACCACCCATGTATAAATCTTCGAGTGATGCGTCCAAATCAATAATTACATCATCACCTTTTGCAATCTTCTCTTCTTCTTCTTCATTTGGACCTCCCCCAAAAAACCTATAAGAATTCTAATTTTATGAGCAAAGACAGACCATCAAAGCAAACAGTTGAGGTGAAGAAACTTAAAGAGCTTAACAATAAGTTAGAATTTAATATAAAATAAAAATAATCTTAATTGCAATTACTAGAAAGCATGCAGCTCATGTTGGCCAAGGTTGAGCTTCTCAAAATAAAACCTATTTTTCAAGAGGCATCAATTTAGGAGCTTCTTGACAAAGAAGTCTTTCCCTCCTACCTTATCCTTAAAAGCTCTTTTCATATATTAAGTGTTTAGCCTAGCTTCTACTTTTAAGGGTAGATAGGCCCCAAAATAAGTTGGACGAAACAAGTGCATAATCTCATAGATGAATGCCATTAAGCAGAAATATATGTACTTTTAAGGCTTCTTTTATGTATTAAGAATTATTATAAATCTTTCAAGTCTCAACATATAATTAAAGATTCTTAGTAACAATTTGGAAATATGATAGCTTGAACCAATTGTGGAGCCACAATGCTATCAAGTATTGATGCCTACCCTCAAATTTACAAATTTATATTTTATACCCCATAAAATTATTGTAAATATGCAAATTTAGGTTCCCGTGATCATGCTCCCCCTCAAATTTAAAAGAATGGGGAGAATTTTAAAAATTAAATTTAAAAAGACAACATAAGAAATTACTATTCCTATCATACTTTCATATCTAATAACAATAAGAATGTAATTAATCCCGAGATGCAAATATGCAATTATAGCAAGTAACTAGATGTAAAAACAGTTCATTCCAATGCCCAGGAAGATGTATATTTTTGGAGTTATTTAGTTTTTCAACGAATTCTAGTTTAAATTTGATTTAGTATGATTCCTAAAAAGCAATCTAAATCCTAAATAATAAATACCAATTCAATTTTGATGGCCTGAAATAGAGGTCGGAAAAAATCTTTTAAGTACTTATTTTACCTTAAGCTATATTGATTGATTGTTGAAAGCACAAAAAAAAAATCACAACTTTAGAAGAACATTGTAAACTTTATATGATGCATTAGTTTTTTAATAATTCATAAGGTGTTGACCCCATGTCTCTACCCCTAGCTTGACCATGTATATGATACATATATCAAGTTTTCATAGAGGTGTGTTAATCATTTCAAACGTAGGAGAGAAGCACATGGAACTTCATGGAAATAAGAATAAGAAAATACCAAAAACAACAGTTGAAGAGAACTTATTGCTGAGAAGTAAAAGGAAGAACAATCAAGCTTGGTGGGACAGCTCAATGTTGCATCATTAATATCTTACTAACACGGAAAGACAATAAGCATCAACTTAAACAACATCATTGCTATGTTATCTTAAATGAATCCACTATAAATATATAGGTCTGTAAAGTCATGTCATAAATATATAGGTCTACAAAGTACAGTTCATGTCCTTAGACTGTACATCAAGGAATACAACATGATCAAATGGCTTAACAATGAGAATACAAAAATATGCATTCACTGAAAATAAAATCAAGAGCCAAACTAATAAAGAAGTGGGTTAACTTACGAGCTAAATATGTCTTGGATGTTCATTCCGGCACCTCTGCCTCCTCCACTTGCAGCATGCTGTTTAAGACCCTCTTCACCATACCTATCGTAAATATTCCTCTTCTCACCGTCGGATAGGACTTCATAAGCTGATAATAAAAGACACTAATTAACTAGCAGTTCAAACGATTGTGACAATCGCCAAATGCCAATAATTACATAGACAAAACTCAAAATTACGCAAATTAATAATTCAGAGCTTGTGTACCATTATTTATTTCAGCAAATTTCTTATTAGCTTCCTCATTTCCTGGATTCTTATCCGGGTGATACTTCAGTGCCAGTTTCCTATACGCGCGTTTGATCTGGTCCTCCGAAGCACCTTTCGGAACTTGCAGAATGTCGTAATAACTCTTACTGGAAAATCAATAAAATTACTACTCACCAAAACTACAGAATACGCAACACAGTGATGCGTAGGAAGGAGCAAAATACTTACGCTGCAATGGCAATTAGCGAG